TAATACTAGCTCAAATAACAATACAATTTCAAACCATAGTAAAATCACTACTATATCAATATAATTTAAACTGCAATAATAATTTGATGTAATACTAGCTCAAATAACAATACAATTTCAAGCCATAGAAAAAAGAAGTGACTTCAAATTAACTCTAGAGTTCAAAGCTTAGTATTATATGCTTAGCTGTTATGTTGTTGAAAAATATTTTGAATACATAAGTTTTTTATATGAATCAAAAATGTGTCGGTAATAAAAGTTCATCAATGTTTTTATTGTAACTGTTTAGTGTTTATATAAACTTATTTTCTAAAAAAAGCACTTCCTTGTTTCAGTGATAGTGATGTCACAATGAAACATAATTATTAAGTAAAAATCCAAGCTCTCACATTCAACAAATGTATAACTTCACTAACACAATAAAAAATAAGTAGACCTGATGTTAATTAATTAGGTATCATAAAATCACTGTTATTAAGTTTTAGATGCAGCCAAATCCATAACTACCTTCTTTGATTGCTTGAACAATAAGATCATGAAATTCATCATATGACTGGATTCCTCTTGGCAAGTACAATGTCAAAGCACATGTAGATGCTGTTGGGAATCGCTTTACACCTGATTCATACTGGTAAAAGTAAATATCAATAGCCTTGTGAAAACCCAATATTGGGATTTTATTAGCTCCAGTGATAAAGATTAAGAGCTGAATCAAGAGACCCTTGTGATCAGAATTTTCAATATTGTCTAAAAACTCCTCCCACCACAACATAGTAGCTTCTTCTTCTTCTCTTGCTTTATTATCATCATTTGRCCCTGGATTGGTCAAATGAGCATGAAGCAATGTCCTAAAAGCAGAAACCTTTAAAACATCAGAATTTGACACACAGAAAATTTCCTTAAGGGAATATGGATTTTCTTTGATGTATTTTAGAAAACCTGTTGATGCAAGACCTTCCAAAAACTGATCAATTGCAGCCTTAGCTTTGTATATGACATGACTTTTACACAAGAGAGTTGCTAGTTGATCCTTGTCTTCTAACTTCCAGTTTACTTTTGTGATCCCAGCCTCAAGAATAAAGTCTGCTTCTTCATTCAATAATTTTTGAAATGATTCCTCATCTCCTGCATAAATTATCTTTAAAAAAATGTAAAAAGTATAGTAATTGTTAAAACCCATAAGTCTATTTT